CTGACACTAATATAGCATTAAGATATACAGATAGTTCCAGCTTGTTGAATAATGAGTGCTGATTATATGAGCATATTGAATTCATGTTTGTGGTAGAATAAGCTTATTATCCAACAGCCAATGAGGATAATAGTAAAATGATTATCCAGACAGCTCAAGTATACAATATGATATTATCAATAATTTGAGATTTAAAGAAATTGGATTCTCCTGGAGAGGTCTGTTCTTGAGACCTTTGATTAAATATTGAATTATAAAGATCATTAAATTTGAAATTGAAATAAATTACAAATAAAATTGTTTACGAGAGAGGTATATTCGAGACTTGTTCATAGATTTCTCAACGATATTGATTCATATTAAAGAATCATGTTTGAGCATGATAACTATTATGATAACCTAGGATCTACAATTGAGTTCTAAGCTTTAAGCCATAAGAAATGGACAAATCGTAGTCGATTATTCTCCTCGAATTCGACTGTAATTGGTTAATTTTGTATGGCCTAAGGCTTAAAACACGTATTGTAGATGCGGGATTAATAAAATAATAACAGAATCTTCTCTAATCTTGTTTTAGTTAAAGTCATGTATTTGAATGAAGAATCCATGTATGATCTAACGAGAATTCATAAATAACATATTTTGTTTTTTTTTTGCCAAAATTTTATCTAGCTAAAAATTGTGCCAAAAATCTTGTATGTGCATTATACGTTCATATGTGCACAATTTTCAATTTTGACACGTGGTTGGTTGGTTTTATGTCATCCTGAACTGTGACTCAATCTTTAGAAAAGATTTGTCGTATTGTTTAAAATGCTTGAAATCTCCAAAAATGTTTACACGAGATATATATAAATATTAATAAATATATATTATACGAATAAATATATTTATTAATATATTTAGGTGTTGAACAGCAGAGAGAAAACATAGATGCTAAGTGTAAAAAGTGCAACTAAAGCGTTATTTCCCTTTGACTATATAGTCAAAGGTTATTTCCGCTCGTCTCGATTATTCGAGATATTCGAGATATCGTATATCGATATTGTCCGCAAACGAAAGCGAATGGTTCTTTCCGACATAAGCGCACGTTGAAGTTGTCAAGTAAGTTGAATTTGTTATGATATCCGTTTTAATCCTAGTTATTTATAAAAATTACAAGAAAGCAAAGAGTTCATCAAGGTCCATAAGCTATCCAAATCAAGTATATATTTTGTTAAATTCAGTTTTTACATGTTATTACGTGGAATATTTGCGAATTATATACGTCTTATTCTCATATGTTTTTCTTTGATAAAAACTCATTTTCTAGTGTTATTCATAATTGTAGCTACGCAAACCGTAATTTTGAAGCATAACTTTTGTAATAAAGCAGTTATATTAGCCTATAATATCTGTATTTTGTTATTGCTTTACATAACCTTAAAGAGAATATACCTTTTAATGTTGTTTATGGGTTGCAACATTGATTATATTATATTAATATGTATTAAACTATTTTTATTGTTCCACAGAATGTTGATGCCAAAAAAGAATCGTGTGGCTATCTATGAATACCTTTTTAAGGAAGGAGTCATGGTAGCGAAGAAGGATTATCATGCATCTAAACATCCAGAATTAGAAAATATTCCTAATCTTCAAGTCATTAAGGCTATGCAGGTAAAATTTTTATTATTTCCTTTTTATTATACATAAAGGATAAAATCCTATTGCATTTTAAACTATTATTAGCTTATATAAATATATATATATATATATATAT